AATTATCAATATAAAAAACTTTTAGTTTTGAATAAAAATAGCAAGTATTAAAATTATAATTAATATAATTATAAATTATATTAATATATTTAATATATTTAATGTATATATAAAACATATTATATATCTATATAATATTTTGGATGGGATGAGATGTCCCGAGGACAATCTTGTGTCCCGTTTCATCATGAACTCCTTTCATATTTTGTCTTATAAAGTCTCATCTCGATATATCGAGATGAAATTAAGTCAATTAAGATAGATATAAGTTGAACACTTTTATTGTTAGGAGTGGTTATCGTTGTATTTTGGTCTCATACCCAGGCCGAATCAACAAGGACCCCAGGGTATCGTATTCCAAGCAGCTGTGGTGGAGTTTTTCACTCCCCTAACTGAGGTTCCTTCCTCTGCTATTCAAAGTAGCCCTCTATCTAGTTCCTGTTGATAGAATTGAGATAACTGATGAATCGAGGGAACATGCTCCGCAAAGAGTGCTTGGTTCTCGAATGGAAATCTATTAGCTATCAATTGTATTGTTGATCTCGAGCATCACTTCCACTATTTCATTTTCTTTACTTCTCAATAAGAAAGGATAAATGAAGTGAAATAGAAAAGTTAGGAAGGAATAGAGTAAAGCCTTGCCCACTTCATGGGTAGGATGGTACCACCCCCTCAGGATACCTTTGGAGGATAAAACTTGAAGAAGTGACTCTGGGGGGAAGGCACGAATGAGGGACATATCTCTGAATGCTCACACACATGGCTTCGTTGATGATCATGGTACCAACGCCTTACCTTCCATGACTCAACAATTTAGTAACACTCAATCCACTCATCTTACTTTTTGTTAGAATTGTACGATTTATAAATGAAAAGGTGCTCATTATTTTACAACTACGTTCTTTCTAGAGAGAATTACACCTAAAGGGTTACGAGAGAAAAAAGGCATTGGAAAACCATGACTTTATGAGATAATAAAGGAGGACTGAGGTTTAAAAACATTGTAGATGAACAAAAATGCCCTTATGTAGTCAGCAACATAGCTCATTCGTAAATTATCAAAGTTGTATATCTTATAAGATCAATTATAAGATCTTGAACTTTTGTTGCAAATAAGCTGGAAATTGTGATAGCTTTGTAAATTTGGAAATTGAGTTATAAATCTTTTGAAAATTAATATTTTTCGTAAAAATTACAAATATTATTACAGTTACAATTAAGTGATAAATTGTAAAAACATTGTAAATCTTAAAAAGCTCACGATGTAGTTTGGAAGCTCAGCTGTAATGAATTGTTGACTTTTTTTTTTACTGACCTTTTTTTTTTCTTTTACTAACCTTTCTCAATTCACAACTTATTTATTTTGACAGTGATTATAATTATAATTGTACTTTTAGGATTTATAACTGAACTTTTAGCATTTACAAAGTTTGTATAATTTACAATCCATTTGCAACATAATCTTTTAATATGTACAACTAAGCTTTTGATGTTTACTATTATTGAACTTTTGGGATTTATAAGTGAGGTTTGTTTTCGAATATGCAAGGCTATTTTTGTACATTTACCTTTCTTCCCCTTGGAACTTCGGTGGTTCACTATCACTTCAAAATTTCAGTAGTAAGTGTGCGCGTATTGATGTGGCAACACCTTTTTTCTCACGCTCCTTTTTTTAAGTATACGTGATTTTCGCAAAATACTTGTTCAAATAATAAAATTCGATCATGCTCATGGCACTTGTTAACATATTTTTAGCATTGAGAGATTAATATCCATTAAAATGAAAAAAATTGATATATATTCAATCCCCTAAACACTTTAAAAAAAAAAATCCCATAAACGGATGTGAAGCGCAGAGATTGAATCAAGTCACTTTCAGATTGATTTTGGGGTCATGAAATTTAGTTTGATTCATCTTTGACCGACCAATGATATTCTCTCTTTCTTGAAAAACGATGGGAAAAGAGGACCTGGGAAACAAGATTTAAAAAAAAAAAAAAAAGGCCAAAGGTTTCTGATTTTACACTGCAGACCTAGAAAACTAAAATGCAAATAAGTGTCGGTGTGAAATGACAAGAATGCCCTTGCTCTTTTTGTTTTTTTTTAAATCAATCCAATGGTTGTCCGCCGACCATTGAACTGTCACAGGATTGACAATGGTAGTTCACTGGAGCTTTGGTGCGAACAACTGGTTAATGTAAATTAATTGGTCAAGATAGTCAAAGTCAGGTTTGAACCCATGCTCACTTGACCACCTAAAATGATCACCACCAAGACCATTTGATTATATTAGGCTAAAAAAATATAAGCAATAAGTCATATTTCTAAATCACTTTTAAATTATAGCAGAATGTTCAATTGTTAATTCATAATGAAACATGTTATTTTATCATGTTTACTTATTAATTTGACATAGTCAATTATAAAATGAAAGGTTTGAAAATTCATATATTTTAGAAGTTTTTATTTGTAAATTGATATTTAAATGTTATTTAAATAATATATTCATATAGGTAATAAATTTAGTTCCAAAACCACTTGTTTGTTATGGCATAATAGTGATTTGTTAATTCTTAAACGGTACTTGTTATTTTGTTAACTTTACTTGTTAATATAACATAGTTAATTACAAATTATGAGAGTTAAAAATTCATATATTTTACAAGTTCTTGTTTGTAAATTAACATGTAAATGTCATTAAAATAATATGTTCATCTAGATAATAGATTTAGTTTCCATACCACTTATTTATTATAATAGAATACTAATTTGTTAATTCATGAACATCAATGGTTATTTTGCTAAATTTACTTGATCGTGTAGTTGCTTATTGGTGCTGCTAGAGGAATTCAGCTAATAGGGCAAATTGGAAGGAAAGGTGGGAGTGCAGGAGGTAATTGATAATGGGTAAAACTTATGAATTTAGCTGTATATGCTTAATATACTTATAATTAATTAAATCTTGACAAGTGAATCTTAATGTAATTAATAATAAGAATTTATTATAGAATAAATAATTTATGAAAAATTCATGTGTCTTGATTTAATTAAAAGTAAATATATTAAATTTCTAAGATTAAGTATCTAAATTCCTTCCATTAATAATTTGGCGTTGAGATGCAGTTGTGGTTACTCTTTCATCTCGGAGAAGTAATGTTGCGGCTGATTATATGGCAGAAAAGGATTGTGTCCTTAGGGATGGGTTACATCACCCCCTCTGATAATTATTTTGGACTGTGATGCAGATGGTTGCAGGCAATGCTTCTGCTGATTCTGGTCTACGGCAGCATGATAGATGAGGAGTTGGCTACAGGCTGTGTGAGGAAATTTAAAGATCTAAGGTGAAACTTTTAGCAAAGACTAATGTGTAAAGTTGTCCTTTTCAAACGCAAAAATATCTATTATCATATATCAATATAGAGATGAAAAGATAAATTAAAACTGAGATTGTGAAAGGAAGCTAGAGAAAAGGGATACAATGTAATTTTTTTTTAAATAAGATAATATAATATAAATTAGTATATCAAGGAACTCACTATTATTTTAAGTACATAATAGGCTTAGCTCAATAATTAAAGTTATAGTAGAAATGATTGAATTTTTTTTCAATTGGAGAAACAATTAATACATTTTATTCTTTTTTATCTATAATTAAACATATAATAATATAAATATCAATTATACACATGACATATGTATATATTAAGATTTTTTTTTTTAAGGCCTAAAGCAGTAGCCTTGCTGGCCTTGAAGCTTACACGGCCTTGGTTGGCTGATTGTTGTTTAACTGTTGCTGTAGTTGTTGTTTCTTTAGTTTGTTTATTTCAGTTTAGCTTTCGTTTGTGGTTTTTCTCTCTCTTAGTTGCTGCTGTTATGTCATTTCTTTTCTGGGTTGTTTGGTTTAGTCTTTGGTTTGTTTAGGATATTGTGGTCTTATTTTCTTGGCCTTGGCTATTAGTGTGTACCTATTTTTTTAAATATTAATTAAAATGACTTCTTTTTTGCCGGGGAAAAAAAAAAGCTTTGCAGTATCCGATCCTTAGCTTGAAATATTATATGCCCGAACACTTCGAAAACACATGCTGCAGCTAAGCCATTCATTCACTCATAAACATTCAAAAGTCTCGCCTTAAAATTCAAATTAGGCTGAATAAATTTTCATTCAAAAAAGATTTTTAATAACTTTAAACGTAAATAAAAATCATTATTTTTCTGCATGATTAAAAATTGAGTACCAGTACCTTCCTGCAGCGAAGCCAAACTGTGGTTGGCGACTGGAATATAGAATATTAACAAGAGAGGAAATAATTAGTAGCGGTGGTGGGTCTCACAACTTGGGCACCAAGCCATGTGGGGCACCTAAGCTTTGGACCTTTCTCCGATTCTAAAATGATCATAAAATAATAGAAATCAGCCGCCTCTGATAAAATCACTCCCATTGTCAGTTGTGTACCAAGTCCTTCCCTCTGGAAGTTTCCCCTTTCACATGGCATCCAGCCTTCTCCGTTTCCTTGGTTATGGGTCAAATTATTAACCTTTGATTGAAAAAAGAAAAGGACAATATCTTCTTTCGTATTATGCACCCATCTATATATATATATATATATATGTATGTATGTATGTATCAAAACAACATACTACAATAATTGCACAAGAGCCAGATGTGCAATGCCCATGTGGTGGCGATATAATGGGCTTTATGCCAGGAAATGGGCTTTGGTAGCACTGGCAATGATTGTTACTAAACACTTTCCCTTGAAGTATTATTCTTCTAACGCTCTCAACATACAGTTCCAATCAATCTATCTCCAAAGTGAATATGGCCAATAGATCGCTTAAACTGCGGTCACATCTGGTTCACCAACTTTGAGACAGGGCATTTACAGGGTGAACAGAGTAATGTTCTTAATATTGAATGCATTATCTGGGATATCTTAATGAAGGAAAAAGCCCACCTAGGAGTAACATGATGCTACTTCTGCATCGATTTAACAGAAATATACGTGAACAATCCATGTAACTTTGATAACAAAGCCTTAAAAAACATTATGGGCCAACAAGGGACTAAAATTTAAGATCAGTATGGATGGCTCAATTGTGTTGACCTTATTATAAGGACAATCAGCTCTGGAACACATTCTGCACATGTTATGATGTCGGGGATATTTCCAATGAGTCCAAAGATTGACAGTCATCAGTCACACATGATCAGCAGGTCCGGATCCCAAGTACCCACGTCGATCCAATAAACTAGTCTATCATTGCCTTAACTATAAACTAATTTGTCTCTCAGAGCTTCTAATTATATTTCTCTCCGCCTTCCATCTTCTTCCGCAGTTCACTGCTCTGCAAAATGCGATACCTTTAAGTGGAACCAACTCACAGGAAAACGAAGGCCCTCTTAAAATGCAGCCCCACTTGTTATTCCACTGTTTCATTGGCTTCTCTCTTGTTTTTGCTGAGGGAGCTCAATCTGCATTAATTAGTGATGAATTGTCAGCACTTCTCACATTCAAATCCAGTCTCGTTGATCCAATGAAGAATCTGAAGGATTGGCAAGCACCCACCAATCTGACCCGTAATGGTTCATGGTCAAGCCACTGTAGCTGGAGTGGGGTATTGTGCAACTCTAAAGGCTTCGTAGAGAGACTTGACCTCTCCAACATGAACCTTAGTGGTCGTGTTTCGGACCACATTCAGGCGCTTTCAAGTCTATCTTTTTTCAGCATAAGTTGCAACGATTTCGCTTCTTCATTGCCAAAATCACTGTCCAATCTCACTTCCTTGAAGAGCTTTGATGTGAGCCAGAACTACTTCACTGGCAGCTTTCCCACGGGACTTGGGAGTGCCACAGGATTGAGACTAGTTAACGCGTCAAATAATAATTTTTTGGGTTTTCTTCCTGAGGATCTTGGAAATGCAACGTTGCTCGAGAGCCTTGATTTTCGTGGGGGCTACTTCGAAGGTTCAATCCCCAGTAGTTTCAAGAATTTACAGAAGCTCAAATTTCTTGGGCTTTCAGGGAATAACTTTACAGGGAAGATTCCAGGAGAACTTGGAGAACTTGCTTCTCTAGAGACACTAATTCTTGGGTACAATGAGTTTGAAGGTGAGATCCCTTCAGAGTTTGGCAACCTCACCAATCTTCAGTATCTAGACTTGGCTGTGGGTAGTCTCAGTGGACAGATTCCACCACAATTGGGCAAGTTGAAAAAACTTCATACGCTTTTCTTGTACAAGAACAAGTTCGAAGGAAAGATTCCCCCTGAGATTGGCAACATTACGTCACTGGAATATCTGGACCTGTCGGATAATGAGATTTCAGGGAAGATCCCAGAGGAAATTGCTGAGGTGAACAACTTGCAGCTATTAAATGTAATGAGAAACAAACTAACAGGTTTTGTACCGGAAAAGCTTGGGGAGCTGAAGAATTTAAAAGTGCTTGAGCTATGGAAAAATTCTTTACTAGGTACTTTACCGGTGAACCTTGGACAGAACTCTCCACTGGAGTGGCTGGACGTGTCTTCTAACTCATTATCAGGCGAAATTCCTCCAGCCTTGTGTGCTTCTGCAAATCTCACTAAACTGATACTTTTCAATAATTCCTTCTCTGGTTCCATTCCAAGCGGGATTTCGACTTGTTCATCTTTGGCACGTGTTCGCATTCATAGCAATCTTATATCTGGGACTATTCCAGTTGGTTTCGGAAAACTACCAGACCTTCAAAGGCTGGAATTGGCCAAGAATAATCTCACCGGCCAAATTCCAATAGATATCGCTTCATCCACTTCACTTTCTTTCATCGATGTATCTTGGAACCACCTTGAATCATCTCTACCTTCTGGAATTCTCTCTATTCCCACCCTTCAAACCTTCATTGCGTCCAAAAACAGCCTGGGAGGCAATATTCCAGGCGAGTTCCAAGACTGCTTCTCTCTCTCTGTGCTGGATCTTTCAGACAACCTTATATCTGGAGACATCCCAGAAAGCATTGCTTCTTGCCAAAAACTAGTCCATTTGAATCTCGGTTACAACCAGTTAACTGGGGAAATACCGAAATCAATCGCCAACATGCCCACTTTAGCCACTCTTGATCTGTCCCACAATTCACTTTCAGGTCAGATAACCAAAAACCTTGGCAGCTCCCCCGCTCTTGAAACGATCAACCTATCCTACAACAAGCTTGAGGGTCCGGTGCCCTCAAATGGGATTTTGTTGACCATAAATCCTAACGATCTAACAAACAATGCCGGTCTCTGCGGAGGCATTCTTCCTCCATGTTCTCAGAGTTCAACTCCAGTAAGCCAGCGAAGGAGCTCACGCATGAAGCACGTCATGATTGGTTTTGTCACAGGAATATCATTAATTTTATCCCTGGGCATTGCATTTATTGGTGGCAGATGGTTATACAATCAATGGTACTTATACAACAGCTCTGTCCATGATTGGTTCAAAAATAGCAATGAAGAATGGCCTTGGAGATTAGTGGCATTCCAAAGGGTGAGCTTCACAACCAGTGAGATTCTCGGCTGCATTAAGGAACCAAACATTATAGGCATGGGAGGCACTGGGATTGTGTACAAAGCTGAAATTCCTAGACCTCATGTGACAGTGGCAGTGAAGAAATTATGGAGGCCAGGTGCAGACATAGAAGATGGGAATGACGTGTTGAAAGAAGTGAATCTGCTAGGGAGACTGAGGCATAGGAATATTGTAAGGCTGTTGGGGTATGTTCATAACGAAAGGAATGTGATGATGGTGTACGAGTTCATGCCCAATGGGAATCTGGAGACAGCGCTACATGGAGAGGAAGGAGGAAGAATACTGGTAGATTGGGTTGCAAGGTATAACGTAGCAGTTGGAGTTGCCCAAGGCCTCAATTACCTCCACCATGACTGTCACCCCCCTGTTATTCACAGAGACATCAAGTCTAACAACATACTCCTTGATGCAAATTTGGAGGCCAGGATAGCAGATTTTGGATTAGCAAAAATGCTGATCCATAAGAATGAGACTGTTTCGATGGTGGCCGGATCTTATGGTTATATCGCACCAGGTTAGTACTAATTACTAAATCATCATCAAAAGGAGCAGAAACATATTTTGGTCCAGATAGACCAGTAGGTACTTAATTCGGACTAGCACAAATTTCTTCTTTCTTCTCTCTCTGTATTTAATTAAAAAAGGGGGGAAAAACTTGAAGTTAACAATTCTTTAACCTTGACATTTTATTCGTTTACCTGTGTGAAACTTGCTCCCCGATAATTTGTGAAGAAAATAAAAACTATTTTTTTTTTTTTGCTGACAATAAAAAAATAATTTTGAGAAGACCAGATTAAAATTTGAACGTGCCATGCACTTCAAAAACCAAAGCAGAGTTTTTGTCGCTTGCTTTCAATGAAGGGGCATACAAGATAAAAATCATGCTCATATTTGTTTCTATGTTGTTTGTGATTCTCAGAATATGGGTATACTCTGAAAGTGGACGAGAAAACCGACATATACAGTTATGGTGTAGTGCTTCTGGAGATCATAACAGGAAAAAAGCCACTAGACCTGTCATTCGAAGAATGTGGAGACATAGTTGAATGGGTAAGAAAGAAGAGAAGCAATGGAGGGTTGGAAGAAGCACTAGATCCCACCATCGCGGGAAGGTGCAGGCATGTCCAAGAAGAGATGCTTCTCGTGCTCCGAATTGCACTTCTCTGTACGGCAAAGCTTCCAAAGGAAAGACCATCCATGAGGGACATAGTGACCATGCTTGGAGAGGCAAAACCCAGAAGAAAAAGCACTTGTCAAAATGGAATACACGACGAAACCAAGGAAACGCCAATCTTCACTACCTCTCCCATCATAAGCCTTCTCTAGCAACTAGTTTGTATCTGCAAAGCTTCTCCCTGCTTGCTTTCCCTGCAATTTCCTCTTTTTTAAAAAAAAAACAAGTATCTTAATGGCAAGTAGTTAAATAAATAATACTTTCCCTCTCTTCTTCCTTGAGAAGAAGGTAAATGAACATAATTTCCTAGAAACTCAAATCAATTTCCAGATGCAAATAGGTAACCAGCGTATGCACGTTATGGTCAAGATTGCTCATTTCCACCCTTTAGCAGTCAGCAAAATGCAAATATAAAGACCTATCTGCATTATTTCCCCAATTTTTCTTGTTTAACAAATTTTGTCTTGAAGGTTTCGCAATTTGGATTTCTCTCCTAAAACAGTTATGCGTTCTGCCTTCCAAGTTTGATTGTTCGTACGATAAAATAAAAAAAATACTGAGGAAGAGCTTTGATACTTGCCTTGTTTGGCAAGACATTTTTTCTTTTAATATTTCATTTTCAATAATAAAACTGTACCTTGCAACTAACACAAATTGTTCCTCGAGGACACTAATTTCTTTTCTTTTCTTTCTTTCTTTCTTCTTTTCTCTTTTTCTTTTGTGTTTTTTTTTTTTGGGCCAGAACCCAAGGACTAGAGGTTTAACCCTTGCTTGCAGCTAAGCAGATATGTTTGTGTAGTCAAAGAAGCAGTGGAATAAACAAATCGGTGCAATAAACGATTTATAATGTTAAGAACACTGCTGGCTGAGATTTCCCTGCATCAGGAAATGATGGCCGAGAAGGAAAAATGCTACCTCTTCTCTTCCAATTAAGAACATCTTACACGGGACAAAACATGCGTGTTGCATACTTGCATCGTACACCAAACATGCTCATCCAATTATACATAAACTAGAGAATTACCTCAAACTGTGTGACCCATAAACAATATTCCACTGATCTAGGCTACTGTCAGAGCACTGCTTCCAGATGCGCTTCCTCCCTCAAGCAAGCTGCCAGATGTTGGCTGGAAAAGGAAATAAAAAATTGCTATGAATTAAAATTCTTTAGGGGACTATATCATCCATAAAAGCAACTAAATATTTTTCCCTATGGGATCCATGGGATAGATAGTAGCTTAAAAAATTGTACATATTTTTCAAACATTCATTCCTTCTAAAATGTATAGAAAAATCTTGAATGAATGAAAAAAATCGCATGAAACCCGAGAAAAACCATATCGTTCATCATTTATGAATAGTCTGACTCCATATAAATTTTATATTTTACATTGATGATATATCTATAGATAAAATGAAAGTATAAAAATAATATACATGTTTGGATTGCAATTTGTTGTTTGAGAATTTTTCCTTTTTACTTTTAAGTTTATTCCTATAACATAATTTTAGTTTAAAGAAATCAACGCAACTCATGAGCATAAATTGTCCACACTGATTTCTCCAAGTATTTGGGCCCAGTTTCTAAGATGTGGAGATTAATGAAAAACGGCACTAGCTTGAAAATTCGTCATCTTCACATGTCTGAATCCATGGATGGATACTTTACGCCAAACTAGTGGTGACCGTTATGCACATTAGAAAATAACTGACAGATCCAAAACTGTCACACATGACAATGGATTCAGAATTTTTTCCCCTTTTTCCACTGACTTTTAGCAGTAATTAACATGTACCTGTTCGTCATATAGTTCACAAAGGGAAAACGGTTCTTTCTCCTTGAGTCCACCGTTATCTTCAACAATTCTTCCCAAATCCTGCTAGCGAGAAAGCAAATAAGTCATTAAACAGTCATAGTACCTAAAATTATTTCAAAAGGAAATGAGGAGATAAAATCAAGAGAAGATAGTGAATCAGAAATGTCAAATGAGCTCATTATGTCACTGACATTTCAATAGAGGTCTGGGAATTTGATCAAGATATGCTAATGTTGTTTGCTTTTTAGCTGCAGCATGTGTTCTTCATGATTTAAATGCCACTAGATAAAGTCAAATTTTGAATATAACTGTACCAACGGATCCAGCTGAAAGTGGGAAGATACGAAAATACAAGATATATATGTGCGTGTATATATATATATGTATATAAGGATCGCGGTGTAATGTAATTCAGGAATTAATTACTACCAATGTTACTGGTAGGACTCATTTAATCCATAGCGTTTTTCTTGTGGCTTAGATTCAGCAAGCTCAGAAATCCCATTTGTGGAAAAAGTTATGCACCAGCCAGTTTACGAATGCTTGGTTTTGTCGAAAGTTAAAGTCTAATTTTCTTCTAAACTTAAAATATTGGATAGAAGCAAGCATTACCTAATAAAGACAGAAAACTCCTGCTCCAACTAAAAGGGGTAAGAATTAACAACTTTATCATAATCTAAATAAAACACTTGCATTAATCTTAATTAAAATGGAACATTCAAACTAATCCTAAAACACAGATGATTTGTCCAAAAATAACCAAGAAAATAAAACCAATAAGCTTCAAAACAAAATGAATAAAAATACAGACTTCTGAGTTAAAATAGACACGTAATAATATAATCTCCAACAGGTCCATCTTACTGATTCCCACACTTTCTAATGAAGGCAGAATGACATTTGAGACAGCTGGAAAATGTAACTTATCAAATGCTAAAATCAATTCCACTGTGTAGGAGCCAGTAATTTTCTGATATATCCCTACTATCAATTCTATAAAATAGGGACCAGTATTTTAGATTATATTTTTTAATAATTTGATGCTTTAAAAGAGATTTTCTGATAAAATACCTAAATAAA